TTTAATCTAGTTCGAAATAATGCTTTTACCATAAAACTTTGATTCAACTTAAGAACGCATTCAGTTATACTTTTGAGTTTCTCATAATCAGAGAGTTTATCAAAATAAAGAGATATTACTTTCGAAATTCTTGCTACCTGGCAAGTTAGCAACTGTTTTTCTCTGAGAAAAAGTGTCACATATTGATACTTCAAAATTTCTCGTTGTCATTTTTTTTTTATTTTTCATCTTTTGATTTTTATTCAATCAATCAAATATGATGTAACGATTAATACAATGAGCCACAAAGCTGGTCGCAAATTTTTTAGTTCTTGTTGTGCGAGAATAGTTATTGTCGAAGAAGAAAAATATCTCGAATTTTCTTGTAATTTGAGATTTTAATTGAGAGTTTTTGAGCATTTTTCTAGAAGAAAAAGCTATTGTATTTCTTTCTACTAATACCGTTTCTATATTCATTTGCTTATGTGCACATGTGCTCACATAAAAAAATATGAAAAGAAAATCGTAGTTAATTGGAATACAATGAATAAACTTAAGAGAGCCTTCAGAAAGACTAAACAAATTGCCATAATGGCAATGGGATGTTTTTTTTGAAAAAATTCATAAAACAACTAACAACATGTTAAATAAACTTCTATTTAAGTATTGGATTTTCGGAATCGATTTTGGATTGAAGAATATTAATCTAGCTTTTAGAGTAATGCTTAAATGCTATACCTTTACCAAAGCAATAAGTACTCAATATCAATATGGATTGAATTGAACAGAACAGCTGATCAGTTTTTACTAATTTTTTAAAAACTCATTTGACTGTTGATATCTGTTCCTCTCTTGAGTAGTTTTTGGTCTATAAACGATAAATCACATTTGTGAACATAATAGACGTAGATCAATTTATTTTGAGCATTGGTAAATTCACAACTATATGCTTTTTTTTACAAAATCATTGTGCTTATTTACTAAATAGTTCAAGAAAATTATTAAAATGTTATTATTCTAAATGATGAGCTTCTTTCCAAAAGTAAAAAATTCTTGTCGAATATCGTTCTATTGATAATTTTGATCATTGTCGTGTGTGAATGCTGAACGAGACACGTGCTCCTGTTTTTTTTTTCGTTTCGGTATCTTATCGAACATTGAAAGCAATTATTGACATCAGTAAAATAAATAAGATTAATTGAGAAATTGATTTCGAGACGAATTTTGATTTATAACCATATTCACAAAAATTAAGAAATGGATGTTTCTTGAATTATCAAAAACTGAATAGACAAGAGATTCAAAATATCTGGTATGCCAACGCTATATTTTAAAAAAGGAGGATTTTGGAGGATTATCATTGAAAATTTTAAGGAGGATCTCATGTTAAAAAGGAGGAATATAGGAGGATTTCTGTATTGTCGAAAAAAAAGACTTCTACGCAAGGTCGACCTTATTAGTATCCCGAGACGGTTCACATCGGATAACTCTTCATATAATAAATGAATTATTGGACCGGTTTTTTGAAATAAAGTTAAAAATTTATCAAAAACAATCCGACACAACTAAGATATAAACAATAAACGAGTTCTTGAGACATGTGATGATAAACATGACTTAGTGGAATTATATTTCTTATTTTCTTCTATTTCTGATTTATCACCTAGTGAAAAATATTTTGAAAAAAACCAACAGAATGGCTTGATAAAAATTTGGAAAACTTTTTTTCTATGTGAACAATGCATTTAGCGGCGGCGCCAGGAATTTCCTCCCGGGTGGGCTCAGTCCACTCTACTCTACTTTCAGCGCTGACAATAAACCTTGTTTCAGATGCTTTAGAAAATTTCCAGGGTGGGCTTAACTTCTTTTCGGTGCGGTGAGTCCACCCTTGGCGCCGTCGCTAAATGCATTTCTTTTGCTAGTGAATGTGTTTTGTTTAAGAAGAAACACTCAGTCTGAAGGAATTCGTTCTTTGCCGTTCCACAGTAAGACGGAATGCTTTCTTTTCTATTAAGAAATTATTCTCTGTTTGAAGGAAAAGCATCTCGAATCATTCTTAAATCAGTAGAATCCATCCTAGTTCAATCTCTTTTGGAACGGCATAGATAAGATTCCATCGAAATAAGATCACTTTCTTTTACGTTTTCTAGAGAAGCATTAAAAGAATGAATTCTTTTAAGTGAGGAATACTCTCTTTTGGAATTAAAGCACAATTGTAATTCAAAAATTAAAGATCTGAAGCAAAGCAGGTTGAAACTGATGTAAGAAATGGTGGAACCTTCAAGTACTTATTCTTTGGAGATGCGACTTCTAATTTAGAAAAAGCATGATTTTAATAAGAATTTGAGTTACAACGATTTGGAGCACGCCATTCGACCGAGCTCGACGAGTTACCCCAAAACCGATCTTTTGACGAATTAAAGATTTATCCATTAATGATTGCCCATATGGCCAAGAAAGTTATCTTCTCTCAAGAAGACAAAGCATTCCAAAAATGGCGAAAAGCGTTCCAAAAGTGATAGAATGTATTCTCGACCGTCCCATTTCGGAATGCTTTCCATTTTTTTCCGAGCACTTTCTTTTCTTAAGAAAGGGCTTTCGATTCTTTGGAACACGTGCTCAATCGTTATTTTTTCATATATTTTTCAATGGGTACACCATCCGAATCTACTTTTTCTAACCAAGAAATATTAAATTTTGTAGCAACAGAAGGCATCTAACGAGAATGTAGTTGTGTAAAAATACTTTTTTTTCAAAAGATTAAGTGTGGTGCTACAACAAATTTACTTTAATTTATGCAAAATAAATACACTCTATTTAGCATTTTTCACGCTTCGGAGTTCTAATCACCAAGAAATAAATATATTCGAATGGAAAAGAAAATATTTACATATAAATTCTTAATATGTAGCATCAAAACATAATCTAATTACAACTTGCATAGGGCGTAACATATGAAGAAAACATTTTAAAAAAAGCGAACGACATTTGTACGTATAATTATTATATAATTGTGTGCACTGTTTTTTGTGTTGCTTTTCTTCTTCTTTCCTATCTTATTAATGAAAATTGTAGTTGTAATTGTATTACCTTACAAAGTTACATATTAAAAACTAATACGTACTTTTCATATGTCTATCTAATAGCATGATATGTCGATTCCACAGTGTTGAAAACTCAAAATATAATTTGATTTTTATTAAAAACTAATACCTTGTCGTTGTACTACCAATACGAGTTACTTAAAACACTTTTTGAATTGTTGAATTATGAAAAATTTTCTGCTTAAAATATTCAAAATTCTGACTTTTTATCTTATATGAAAATAAATGCGGAAATCTCGAATTTATATCCGAGATTATGTGTACTTCAAAAAGTGAATGACCAGATCTGGTCATCCCAGAATGTCTGAATATAAAAATTTGGCCGGCAAACCTTTTCTATAAACCTTTCAATTCTATTGCCTACTTCTCATCCAATAGGATTTGGAAGTTTAGAGACCTCAGATTTGAACTCTTCGACCTAACTTTGTCTCAGAAAGTCGTTTTTCCTATAAATTGATTTCTATTGGTCAATGATCAACCAATGGGCCGCCGAGGTCAGTGGAGTACTGATTCGAGTTCTCCATACTAGAAAAACTTCGATTATCACCTCTATGATAGAGAGGTAGACTTCCCATTGGGGGTCGATTGGAGCGTGCACCAAAACCGAACCGACCTCCGTTTATTTATCTTACCACCAGATGAGTTAATTATCTTGTTTCTTACTGTTTTTTATATGGTTTTGTAGCTCTTCGAATTCTCTATCGAATGGTATATAATAGTTGGGGTTTTCATTGACTATGAGAGAAAACGTCTTTTACGAAAGTAGGGATGGATCAATTTTCCCCTAGGTAGCCATATGGAAAAAGGAGTATTTTGCAATAACTCAGGAAGGGCTCGGCTGATCCTTCTCATCTTCGAATTTGACCGAGATATTGTTAAGACTAAGCTGTGTAGAAAGTTTCATCGTAATCTGACTCTGTTGTCAAAAGTTATCATGTAAATAGCCCACCGGACGGACGGGTACACGAACTATTCTATAGTGTATTCCCTTTTTGAGTACTCAAAACTATAATTCGGTTCAAAACGAATATCAGATTCAGAATCAGCGTTAAAAACTGAATCGATTTATGTATTTTGAGAATACTTTTGAGCAAAAAAATTTTTTTCGAAAAATCCCCGTACCCCCCCCCCCTCAGGGATGGTCTGATCAAAAATCACAATTTTTTTGATAACTCAGCCATTTCTTCACGGATCCTTCTCATCTTCGAACTCGACCGAGATATTGTGAAGACTGAACTGTATAGAAAATTTCATCGTGATCAGACTCTCCTTTCGAAAGTTATCGTGTAAACGGCCGGACGGCCGGATATACTGACCGATTATAGCAGTGTACTCACTTTTTGAGTACACTAAAAAAGAAGTTTATTTCGAGCAAATTCACGATGAGGAGGAGGTATTTCCAATATAGTTCCTGAAATGACATAAAATTTTTAGATTTGGTAGTAATTAATTGCATTCCATCAGAATGTATCATTAACGTTAATCGGTTAAATGTACTATTGGCGTGAATTTGTCTATAAACTTTGCCATTAACAATGTCGTTAGGTAAAACAAGATGAGCTTTTTGTTGATATTCTATTATAAAATGCAAAATGCGTCGAACAACACTTTTTATTCGTTGAAAGACGTTAGCTTCAGCCAATTCAGTTAATGAATCAGCTGTTCTTTGATGACTACATAAAGAACATGTAAAAGAACATTTACCTTCAACAGGATTTACCTAAATAGAGAGTGTTTGGAAGAAAAACCTGTGTATTCGTTTACTCTGTTAGAATAGGATAATGTTTTATATGAGAAAACTATTAATTGTGTATTTACTTGATGATTGCACTTGATGCATAATGTTTTATAAATAAATTCTTCACGTTTATTGTACCAACGTAAGATTTCCAGTTTGGTTAAATGATGGCCCCTAGGTCATAGATAAAATAGCAATGATATTAAATGTAAGATATGAGTATAAGATAAGCTACATTTAATTATAAATGCTTTAATCGCAGTATATGTTTGACGAAGAGTTATTGAACCGTTTGAATAAAAACAAGTATTAGAATCTTCATAATCATCATCACATGAACAGCGTGAATCAGAATCAGGATCAGAACTTCCATCGCCACTATCAATACTATCATCACTATTAATAAAAAGATTTTGTTCAGTTTGATTACCATTTATATCATTCATTTTCTCAAAAAAATCATTAACTTCATTATTCATCATATCGGCATCAGCATTAACATTAAAATTATGTTGTGGAGGTGGAATAGGTGTTGCTGTCTGTTGAACACGACCCTCAAAATTAAAAATACGTTTTCGATATGTTTTGCAATATGCCGCATTGGTCGTCATGATTTAAACGTCTAGAATAAAATTAAGTAGTCAATCTGAGAAAAAATTTTTCCAAAAGATTAAACCAATTAAGTTTTCCTTAGGTGGTAAGAAAACAGCTCGTAAACATATAACACAGCCATCACATCACTTTTCTCTAGAGAAAAATGTACTAGTACCGAAAATTCGAACCATAGTTCGTAAATAATTCTTCTTTTAAAGTAAGTTTATTTTTATTCTCATTTTGTAGCTAAAACAAAGCACCTAGTATTTATTCTTCGATTCTTTTTTCTTTGAACCAGGCAGACGTTACTATATCCAATCATTGAATTATATCTTTCAATTACGAACAAATATAATTTAGCATAAAATTAAAATATTTATGCACTTTGTCAAGTAAAATTACGAAACAATAAACTCCCCAGGGAGTCCTCTCACTGAGTGGACTCCCTGGGGAGTTTATTTCTTTGCCTCCCTCCATAAAACATGGGGATTCCCTAAAATATCCACTGGGGACTTCCTAGGAGTTCTTATCTTTTGGGATTCACCAGGGAAAATACGAGTGATTCCCTGGGGATTCATCGGGGACTTCGCATTTTTAGAGGGACTCACTGATGACTTTGCAAGTGAGAGTCGACTAGGGTTACAATATACAAAGAACAACTTATTCCGTAGTTCCACTTTTTGTTTTCGAAATGAGGAAAATTCTGAATCATTAATTTTCAAAATTCCGAAAAAAATGATTTTTTTTTTTGTATACGACGAAAATTAGCCGCACAAAATTTTGTCTATTTCAAAAGCAGAAGAAACAACTAGAGAATTAGCTGTTATTTGAAAATTGTAGAACTTTTCACGCTGCATTTTATGGCATATTTTATTTTCTTTTTTTGTGTACTCAAAAAGTGAGTACACTACTAAAATCGGTCTGTGTGTCCGTCCGTCCGTCCGTCCGTTAACACGATAACTTTTGAAAGGAGAGTCCAATCGCGATGAAATTTTCTACATAGTTCAGTCTTAACAATGTCTCGGTCGAGTTCGAAGATGAGCAGGATCCGTCAACAAATGGCTGAGTTATCGAAAAAATTGTCATTTTTGAGAAGACCATCCCTGAGGGGGGGTACAGGGATTTTTTCAAAAAAAATTTTTTTCTCAGAATCATTCACAGCATATATAAATCGACTCAGTTTTTAACGCTGATTCCGAATTTGATATTAGTTTCGAATCAAATCGTAGTCTTCTAACGAAACATTGCCTGAAAACGGTCTCAAAATGTACAAAAACTGCATCTAGAAACCAAATTGCCTAGATATGTCTGAGATGACCAGTAGTTTTGCAGTTTCCCAAATGCCTGGTTTTGTAGATAGTCAAAAGGACTATCGAAAGGTAAAAATCAAAACTCTATAGCTATTAATATTGGTGATTTATTATGAAAATACTGATGTCAGTATCTATCATATATCTCTTATATATTCATGAGGTTACTTACGATCGTAATCCCGCTGAATACAAACACAAATTCATTTAAAAATAACTCTTCTTATCTAGTTTTCCAAGCTGAACACGAATCTGAACTCAATTTTTGTGATTTCTAAAGATATTATATCACTCTTAGAGTAGAGTCAGCGGTCACTGAATAGGATCGCATACAGTGTGGTCCATGCTAACTTAGCACGCTTGTGTTTTCTCTTTGCAGTTTAGTGACAAGGGATGTATCTTGATAAGATCTATGCCTTATAGAAATAAATACAGGGCCTAGTGCACCGCGTGAGAAAACTCCAAAAATACCGACTCTCGAAGTATGCCATTTCCTTGAGTTTACGCAGATTTCTGCTTATATCACGTTTTTATCTCATAACTTATTTGAGTATAGTGAATTTATAGATTAAACTGTTTCTTTCCAATTGAGACCTTCTTTAGCTCAAAGGGCCAAACCATTCACGAGACAAGGTTGAAATGCTGAGCATATGCTCAAGATAGTTAATTTTTATTATTAAACTGTCTAGAATATTCATCCTTGAGCGCACTAAGGAGCTGCCCCTTAGGCCCTGCGGATGCCCTCTTTTTGTCCCGTAGGACTCGGCGAGGAGTTAGTTCCGGATGTTTTGTTCATTCGCATAAACTTCTTTGCTTTAGCTGAATCGTGTTTCTCTTTATAAACTCATGTTAATTATGTCAAAGTGCGGTACAAATTGTTGAGGATTATCTCGAAAAGGTAAAAATGCATCATAATGACTACCATTATAGTAAATACAAAATCCTACTTTATTCATATCAGATTTGTATCCTATATATTTTAGATGACCACCTGCTGTTCCTTTAGCAAATCGATCAACTAGTTCCTGTAAACTAATATTCGATGAAATATAATGTCTATGTTTTGGATTGCCGTTAAACTGAATATATGAATAGATAGGATGAGATAGAGCCATAGAAAGCGCCTGAATTTGAACTTCTCCACCCCATATTGTATCCATAGCAGTTCTTTTCAACTGTTCTTCAAATGAATATTGCAATACAGTACAAAGGGTTTGGAAATAATCGCTATTATTCATCATTGCATTAACTGCCAACAATCTCATCGAATGTGTTAGTTTTTCAGACCCAATATTTATTATCGAAAGAGAACTATATAAACAATTGCCATCTGCAGTCGTGCAAGTTCTAGCATAAACAGAATCGAACGCTTGAACAGAATATCCTGTTTTCGATTTTAACCGGACGGATTGGTCTTTATTATTCATAGTTATAAATGGTGATTTTTCAATTAAATCATTAATTATTTGAGCTTGACTTGAAATTTGATTAGTCTCTGTAGTATTATTAAAATCAAGTGCAAAAATAAAATGATCCAAAATCTTCCTTGAGTTTGAATCAATGATCTCATAGTTTCCGGAAGAAGATTTTTCTTCAATATCCATCATGTCAGATGGATCATTAACTTTGAGACCTTCCAAATGGAAAGACATATCTAAGTCAATTTGTTCGTTTTTATCGACTGTTTCATGACATTCAAAAACGAATTTCTCATCGACTTCCATTGTGTCAGACTGATCATCAGTTATAACATCTTCAATATTAAAAGGTATATTTGTACGAATGTCTTCGGTTTCATTCAAATGAAACTTAGTCAAAACTTTCTGTTTTCTTATCCATATTGGTTTATGAAAACTTGTAAGACTTTCAAAATAATCAGATTTTTAAGTCTTTCACATTAGTGAAGCAATAGTCAATCTGCGTTTTTGCATTAGTTGAATCTCTATTTAGTGTATTATTCAAGCTATGTCCGAATGATTTCATATATTCAATAAATTTGTTATTGATTTTGATCTTCAAATTTATATTAAAATCACCAACGACAATTATATTTTGACAAAACCCTTTTGAAATAGTTATAACTTCATTAATCTGTCGTTTTAAGATATCGAATGATGAATTCGGTGAATTGTAAATGGAAATTATACAAATATCATCAATTTCTATTGAAGAATATTCAATATGGTTTTTGCCTGAATATCCATATCTTTCGGTGATATTTTCGTACTTCAGATCATTTTTTAAATAAATGATTTGACCGAATGATTTTCGTACATCATCACAATCACGTCTGTGAACTATCTTGAAACCTTCAATTTCCAAGTTGTCACTTGGTTTTGTCCATGTTTCAACAAGACTTATCATGGAAGAAGACAAAAATGTTGTGTCACACTTAATATCTGAAATATGTTTATTCAATGATTGTACATTATGAAACATAATCGAAAATCTTTCTTCTTGAGATTCTTCGGGAAATTCAAGTGAAAATTTCAGCATTCGTTCGGATCTCATGCTTTTGAACATCATCGCCACTGCATCATTATGTTCAGGTGGTTTCGGTGGAACGAGGTCGCCAATTAAATATAAACCACTTGCTTTTGTTGCACGACTACAAGCGACATATAATTCAGATCTTGTCATTCCTTTCTTTAGATTGACAACGACTTTTTCATAAATGCCACCTTGACTTTTATATATAGTCATGGCTTCAGAAGGAACTAGGGGAAACTGTTTCCGTTCTACTTTGAAATTAGTTGATCTTGTATTTATTTGCCG